GTTTGCTCATCCCCTTTCACATTCATGTGGGGACCTTCTGTGGTATCTACCTCATGGACCTGTATGAATGTGAGTGTAGGAGCACAGCAATTTCTCAGCTGAATACATGCAGGGTTTGTGTTGAAACATCGCTTGCTGTTTCAGGATGGAGCATACAGGAAAAGAATCGCAGCCTGATGAGGAATCCTATGACCTGGTTGTTACAATGCTTCTCAATAAAGGCAACGTTGATGCTTTTGATACTGCCTTGAAATATATAGATAAAATTCTAAAAGGTGATTACATGTTATCGATGAAAGTATTTGATGAATGTGTTAGAAGATGTTGTAACTTTGGCAGACTGGATGTGTTGCTATCTATTATTGAGAAGTGTAAGGTAATTAACTGTTTTGCCTTATAATTTATTGCATAAAAAGACCCCTCTTTTTATGTGCATGTTTTTTTATCTGATTTTTTTTGCATACTGTGTTAACAGAAAATGGATCAGAACAAAGCTCTCTGTCCAAATTGGAACCTATGCAACCATGTTGCTGAAATTGCATTAAAAGAGGATAACAGCAAGTTATTGTTTTGCGCCCTGGAGTTTATGGCTAGATGGATTGCTCGAGGAGAGAAGGCAAGGCCTGTCGTTCTACTTTCAGTGGATGAAGGATTGATTGTGGCAGCACTTGGAACTGCTGGCAGGACCTACAACTCCACTCTCCTGGATGCATCATGGGCAATCCTTCGCCGCTCTTTACGTCAGAAGAAGGCTCCTAACCCGGAATCGTATATTGGGAAAATATATGCCCATGCATCATTGGGCAGTCTGCAAAAGGCTTTTGCTACTTTGCGTGAATTGGAGTCTTGTTATGGGAGTTCTGATACGGAAGCAGAAGATGAATTGTTCTCACCATTCTCTTCTTTGAATCCACTAGTTCTGGCTTGCTCCAAGAAGGGTTTTGAGACTTTGGACTCGGTATTTTTTAATTTTCAGAAGTTGATAATTAGCGTTCACCTATTGTTAACTTTTAACAAATCATCTTCCAGTTCAAATTTTGTTAATTTAACCAGTCATTCTTCACAAAATGTTTTCTTACTAAGTTTAGGAACCCTTTATTCATTTGGATTCTTTAGTTACTTGGTTTAGGAATCCTTTATTCATTTGGATTCTTTTGTTGTCATTTGATTATGTGACTTTTAATAGAGATATTGTTTCTTACAAGTCTAGGATTTGGGCTTTTGACTTGCACAAATGGTTTCTGAGGCAATTTCAGAAAAGATGTCTTATTCTCTATCAATCAATTTGTGCTTTTGAGGTTTCTCTACAAACCTTAAACCTATTTCTCTTTTTCCAACTTCAATTTCATTCAGATTTTAGCCAATTTAACTTATTGTTCTTCAGTGTTTCTGTTGGTTTTCTCCTGCAATTCTACATCACTGATTCTCATTGTTTTAATTTTTCTCAGGTATATTTTCAGCTAGAGAATTTAAGTCGTGCAGAATCTCCATACAAGTCTGTGGCTGCTCTTAATTGTATAATTTTAGGTTGTGCAAATATATGGGATCTTGATCGCGCCTACCAAACTTTTGAAGCGATTAGTTCTTCTTTTGGGCTGACCCCTAATATTCATTCATACAATGCTCTAATTTTTGCATTTGGAAGGCTTAAGAAGGTAGATCATTTTACGGCCCTCTCTAGGCATGATGCACATGCAATTTAGCAATGCATCAATACCATTTTGTTTTCTACTCGGTGTAAAAGGGGCTTTGCAGTACTGCATGCAGTCACCTTCCCCTTGATGAATCTCATATTTATGTGGGTGGACTGTGCATGCTTTCAATGAACTTCCCCATGTGTTGCAGAGGTGCTGCAGAAAGACTAATTTGATGATTTCTTTGGAATATGTAACATGTATTGCTCATGCTTGCACACATTAAAATAAATAAATGCATGCAATCCTATCAACTGCTTGTTTGATATACAGGATCTATTCCATTGTAAAATTTCTTGCTTCTCTTGTGGCAGACATTTGAAGCTTCAAATGTGTTTGAGCACTTAGTGAGCTTGGGTGTTAAACCCAATGCAATGTCGTATTCATTGCTTGTTGATGCTCATCTCATCAACCGAGATACAAAAGCTGCTGTGTTGGTGATTGACAAGATGGTAATGCACTTTTTTCCTCTTGGGTGTGCGTATTGAGATGTACTTGGTTTCTATCTTGAGTTTTTGCATCTCTAGAGAAACTAATGCATGCACAATGAACCTGTTGACTAGGTTTCTGCTGGATTTGTCCCTTCCAAGGAAATACTAAAGAAGGTCAAAAGGCGCTGTATTCGAGAAATGGAATATGAGAGTGATGATCAAGTAGAGCTCTGGGCTAGAAAGTTTGACTATCGATTGGGCTCTCAAAATCGTAGGGACTTGTTGTTTAATCTGGAGTACAGCACTGATTTTGCTTGATTGGTAAGTTTTGATGAGTTGAATGTTTTTTCTACATCTAACAAAATCAAGAGAAGATTGTCCTTGGTGTATAGCATGATGGTCTCAACTAGGATAATATTTTGCTTTGACTATAACACTTGTTGCATGTGATTTGCCTCATTTTATTTTACAGAAATTAGTCAGTAATTTAACATTTACCTTCTTAATATAATGGATCAATTTAATTCGGAAAGTAACAATTATAGTCAAGATTGTAATGGTCGTTTTATATAATTTTCCTAATTTCTTCCAAGTTTTACTTGGCATTGAAGAAATGGTCTCTTTCTCCATAAAAAAAATAATGGCTATTTGAGAATCGTTGTTCCATGGTAGTTTTTGTCTCTAGTAAATGAGCTTTTCAATCTACTCTCCTTCATTGCGTAAACACGCCTTGGTGGAGGTTTTGTCTTAAGTTTGATCATGGCCCATGTGGGGACAATGTCAAAACTCCACTAGCTAAGTTAGGTGACACTTCAAATATTGTTTCTTGATGTAAACAAACTTGTGCAGCCATCAGAGGAACGTGGCTGAATACAAAAAATGGAACTGGTAATTTCTTTCCATTTCAGCAGCTCCAAATCCACTTTTTTTATTCTTTTTTAAAATCAGCTCTACCTGTGTATTTGCTTTCCACAAAAACGCAATCTTTGTATAAAAAATGAATGGGAAAAACTAGTGCTTTTTTCAGTAAATGTTGACTCTGCATTTTGCGTTCTTCTTACCTTGATTTGGGTTAATCTTGCATCAACCTGAATTTCTGATCTTTCTTTATCTTCTTCCAGGTTTGGTTACTGTTTCTTCTTGGTAATCTCAGTGGTGGCAGTTTGCTTGTTCTCCAGCGCCTGTCCAATGAAATTCTTTCCTGTCTGTGCATTACTTAATTGTACTCGATTTTGACCTTGGCAGGACTGATACAAGGATCAGGATTGATCTTATTATCATAGCCTCTATATCGTCCATATGCTTCCCGGTTTTTTTGTTTTTTTTTCTACTGAGGGAAATCTACAGGGCAGGAAAATGTTGGTCCAAAAGATTTTCAATGTTGACAAATAAATGTAGGACATTCTTGATTTCTTATGTAGGATAGAAATTCTGCAATGGCTTAGATCCTCAACTGGTGAGATGTTTGTCTTTCTGTCTGTAAATCTAGTGCTTAAGTTAATGTTGTCTTCAAGCAGTACTTTGCGTAATGCAGTTATTTTTTGGAGATAGAAGTTGGTGATGTGATCGTGCGTGCATAGTGTAACTTGCCTCTAATTCATATGTAGAACAGAAGAGTTTTGCCTTGTTGCACAAGACGGAAGTTTCAGGTGATTATTGTTGGAAAATTTGTTAAAAGATGGTTAACGGATATATTTGAATTCAAATTAAATGTGGGCCTACTCACCTTCTGAAGTCGGCCTACTCACCTTTTGAGTAAACTTTGTTCAATTTTAATTTTTAATACGAGTGTTTTTAACATGAAACATGCTTTAAATAAATTTTAGGGTAATAAAAAATTGATTTTAAAGAAATTTTAGTAATCATGTTTTGATGAAATTAAAAATCTTGTGAAAAATATATTTCACGTGAGAAAGAAAAAAAAATGTCTTCGCTGTTTTAAAATGCCAAGTTAAAATTAGGGTTAAAAGCTCACTTAATTATTTTAGAGTTGGAAGGTTTTAGGTAGGCCTTAGAGTTTAAATATATATGCTTATTACAAAATAAATATTTTCACAAGAACTATTTCTTCCAATTAAAATCTGGACTTGAATTTTGTCTATGAGTCTAGGCCTTGGAGGCCAAGACATTCTCTTTTCATTCTTCCATAGATAAGAGCAAGATTTATATTTAAGCCACCACTTAATCATTTTGTCTATGATAAATATTAAAATGTAGTTATGGTTATTTTTTAAATAATTTTTTATGTTAAAATGCTTATCAATGATTTTTTTTTATTTTTTAAAAAGTTATTTTTAATATCAGCACATCAAAATAATTTGAAAACACTAAAAATATATTAATATGAAGTAAATAAAAAAATAAAAGAATTTTAATTTTTAAAAAAAACACAAAAATAAATGATAACTGATTAGATTGAATTATTGAAAAAAAATTCATCAATCTACTCTATCATATCTGATTTTTTTGCTTAAAATTTCAAATTACTCCCATTTGCCATATCATTTTTTAAAATAAAAAATTCTTAAATTTTCATACTGTTCCCATTCCCGTGTAGTTCATTCTTTATTTTTAAGGGAAAAAAAAAAGCGTATTGGCAAAATGATCCACGGCCTCAAAATTTGAAACTAGAGCACTCTGAAGCCCAAGCCTATTGATCTGAGTAAGACTGAGCAAAATATGGACCGGACCAATAGCCCAAATAACTGGGAGAACTCTGAAGTTGCAGGGCCGGCGAAGACAGGACCAGGGGAGTAAACATGGACTCTAATGGCAACCATAGAAACCATTGAAATCAAAGGCCAAGCCCATTTCACTGCTTAAGATCGAACAAGACATGGACTGGACCAATTGCGCAAAGTTCATTACACCTTCTAGTTCGAAGTATTCTGTAACTTGGATCAAACGCTAAAACCCTAGACAAGAACCAACGGAAATTCCCTTCCCTTTTCAATTTCAACCCAAAATTTAGGTAAATAGAAAAAACAGAGCACAAATGGAAGGTGGGGTGGGTCGTAATGGCAAAGAGAGAGAAGAGGAACAAGACGGCATGTCCGTACATTCCCCATGCAAAGCTCCTCCTTCCTCTGCTTCCTCTCTTCCCAAGGTCTCTCTGCCTCTCTCCCACACGTGTTTTTTTTTTTTTTCTTGTGGAATTTTAATTGGAGTTCAAAATATTTATTCTTTGGGGTCAATTAGGAGCAATCACAGGTGGAATTAGAGCTAAGACTCTTAGAAGCTTTGGAGATCTACCCTCCTGTCAAACTAAGAGGCAGGTTCTTCAATTTTCCTCTTCAGTTTTATCTCAATTCGCTCGATTGTGGGGTATTTGATTTTTTTTTAATGAATTTGAAATAGGAATTGTGTTATTGTGTCATATTTCCTGCAGTAGCATTTGTATGGATTAAATTAATAGAGTTGAATGGGAAATGCACATTGCTTGTATGATGAACATGTCAGTGGAGCTATCGGAACAGCGCATTATGTGATTATGTTATGATGCTATTTGTTGGGAGTTTTGAGGGATCTGCTTCATTTGCTATCATTTACTGGTGATAAGTTTTTGGTGTGAAAGCTTCTGTTCAGGAGATTTGCGGTTTGGTGTCAAGACTGTTGAGGAGTTATTTTGTTTTGATGATAGAATACAAATACTTTCTATGTGAGATATATAATGAGACAAATATAAGTCATTTAGAAATTAATTCACATGAGTTATCAATGAGTTAATAGATATATCTCTAGTTCCACTCTTCTTTTATGCTCTTTTTTATTTTTAGAGTTAAACAAAACATTTGAAAAATTCCTTTCATGCAGGCATGCATCGCCACTTTGTACTTTATGGTCTCATGGAATTTCTTCGGAGAAGGTCGTTCTGTCTCCCACTCTGTTTCCTTTCTAAAAGTTTCCATTTACATGCTTTAACATATTGATCACTCGATCACAGCTTTGATCGGCAATTTTCTCCAGATGAGGTTTTGCAGTTGCTGGACCGATTCTACAACATTGAAATGCTGGTATTTAATTTCAGTGATATTTTTCATTTTCATTTCATGTTACAGAAAAATAACACGGCAAATTTCAATACAGAAAATAATTCATATGAACGCTATGCTACTACAAATTCATTTCAAGTAAAATGTTGGAGATTTTGATGCGTGTATGAATTGATAAATGTCTCAGCTCTGCTGGATGCTAAATTTGGCTCACTTCGTTGCTGACCTTGTATTGTTTCCCATAGAAGGAATAGTGCATGGAATCTTAAAAGTATGTCTATGAGATTAGATGATGACATATAATTCGCGACCAGTGAAAGATCAAAGTATTCACAATCAAGTATTTTAGTCTATGCCTTGCGAATATTGTGTTTTTCTTGCTTTCTCTTTTACACATCATCCCTATTTTCTTTATGAGAACATATAATGTGTGCAATGATTTTGGCTTGTTTCTGTCAAGTTTCAGAAACCAGATGATGAAGAGGCAGAAATTCTGAATCACGAGGAAGATTTTTCCTTGCCTCAAAGTTATTTTGTCAAGGAAGAGTGAAATTGATAATTTTGAACCACATCTTTTTTGGACTCCTTGCACAACAATCCTAGCTGGGAGCATTTTTCTTGATCATATTTTAAATCCAAAACTGGCGCAAACTTGATAGGAGTCAGTGTTGCTTAGAATCTCTGAAGGCCATTGTAATAATCCTTTTAAATCCCCCCCCCTCATGACTCCTATAGTAAGATAAATATGTAAATTTTAGTTAATATAGTTTCATTTACTTTCCACTATCATTTCCAGATATTCTGTTTTTTGAAGACGGCAGAGACAAGGTTGTGTGAGGGTCAAACAATAACGAGGACAAGTGCGTTAGGAATATAGGATGCATTTTCTTGTCTATTGATTTCTAGTTTCAGTCAATGTATTCTGCTCGTCCCAAAAGAGGAGATTCATGTGGAGTAAGAAGCTCAAGAATTTGGTAATTTCCTGGCGTGGTCAGGCGCCGTCCATGCATTAAAATAACTGCCAAATTATAATAGAAATGGGTTAGTACATTTTTACATTGTTCTGCCTTGTATTTTCTATTTAAAAGGTTTTTTTTAAATATTAATATTAATATTAATATATATATATATATATATATTTTATCATTCTCAAATCCTTCAGTTGGTGTCGTCGAGGTTGTTAAAAATTAACTTGTGATGTTCATACAAGATTATATTTTTGTTCCTTGATTTTTTTTTTTTTAAATTTACTTTGGTCTCTATATTTTTTTACTTACAAAGAAATCCTTAATTGTAATTTTTTTTGGTCATCATATTTTACAATAAATACAATTTAGTCCATGAATTGATTTTTTTCCAATTAAGTTTCTATATGTAATTTAAATGAGTTAATAGATAAGGTAAAAGATAAGTGAATTTAAATAGATATGTATGTTCAAAAAATAAAATTTTATTTCATATGGTATTGTATATCTACTATAAGAAATTTTCTGTTCTTTTCTTTATTTTTCTTTTAAATTATTTTCTTGCTTTTAACTTGAAAAAATCGAAGGAGATAAAAGACCATAATAGATATATGATATTATAGGAATGAACTCTATCTAGTTAGTTCGTGAACTTCTTGATAATTTTTATTTGATTAGATCAATTGATCTTTGATGTGATTAGTTTTTATTATTGTGATCGATATTACTATTTAATTGAATTTTTATTTCCTATAATATTGTATATCTATTTTGATAATTTTCACAAAGCTTATGATTTTCTGTATAATAACTTATCTGAAAGAAACAAATTAGGGATGAAATTGTATTAATTTGAAAACTCAACACCCTTAAATGACTCTTTTGTAAAAAGGTATTTACTATAAAAAGTAATTATAAGACTGCGTGACTTGCTCGCACGCCCTTTACCTAGCGTATTAAAATGAACGTGATTTTTAAAATAATTTTTTTATTTAATAATGTATTAAAATGATTTTTAAATTTTTTTAATTTTAATATTAACATATTAAAAATATCAGAAAATAAGAAATATAATTGATATTTTTTTTTCAAACAATAAGCATAAAAAGAAGAAGAAGTGGAAGCACACTTCCAAACACAGAAGCCTTATGGGAAGAAAATACTTCTATGGGATATTTATAGATTTTGGAGGAAAATATCTATATGCGAATAAAAGCCTCATTCCTACGCTAAATTTATTTGGGAGTGAGGTTATTTCTGTTTTTAAATACTTTCTAAAGTTTATTTTTAAAAAAATTAAAATAATATTTTTTTAATAGTTTTGATTTGTTAAAATTAAAAATTATTTTAATATATTTTTAAATAAAAAAGGGCTTTGACCATTCTTCACCAAGCCTTTTTATGTGAGACTTTTGGAGATCTAATTTCTATAAATAAAAGGGTTCAGATATTGATACTTTATCGTATTGGTTTTCGAACCATCACCTTTCTGTAAAGAGTCCAGCAATCTCCTTCTTTAATTCTCTCCACTAATCTTCTCCCCTAGCCGTGTAAATGTCTTTCATCCGACTGCACATCACCATTGCAGAGGAAAGCTTAACATTGAAGTCACCTCCTCCTCCTCTTACCACATGAAATCCATGGCCTTTTCCAAAAAAAATAAAAATAAAAATTATAATCACTTCTTTTCTTAGCATCCATAATCCCTTTAACCCTTCCCTCAACGACGAACGTCCAAACTCGAAGGGCGCTTCCTAAATTTGATTTTTGATTTTTTACATTAACAAATAAATGTAAATATACTGATAGCAACTTTTTGTAGGGTAAATAATAATTCCAAAGAGAGTACTTGGATTGAAAACTTTTAAGATTCCTAGAAAATACATTTGAAGTAGATTTTCTTGTCGCGTTGACAATGCTGATGATGTTTTTTTATTGTTTCAATACATCAATTTGCAACATTTTAATATAACTATTCAATGTCATAAATCTGCAAGATAGAGGTCAGACTGCATCGTACTTGTCTTGTCATAAATTCAGGTTTTGTTTTTTCAAAGGTTTTCACTTCAATAGATATTGATTTTATTTTTTAGATATTTTTTTATGATTTTCATATATTAATATTAAAAATAAAAAATAACAATCACCGCACGGTGAATCAAGTGAATATTACCTAGACGTGATTTTTAATATATATTTTTTTTTGGGGAAGACAAACATTTTTCATGAGAAATATCAAATTTATGTAGTTTTGATTTTTAATTTTTTTACTACCTCTCCGCGGGTTTATTTTCATATGGGAGTCAAGACTCGAGCAAACGTTGATGGAAGAACAACAACTAAATATAGAGATTTTAGCATTTTTTATTTTATTTTAAAAATAATAGCTGTAATCACAGCCACTCTTCGAGGCTCAATTTAATCAGTGAGTTAGAATGATTTTCATATTATCATTTAACATTCAGGTTTAATATATATATAATTTATTTTTCTGTGCACATGCATCAATCAATATACAAAAAAAAACAACATAACAAAAAATGAAAAAAGAAAGGAAGTGCTGCAACATAGACTTCGAAGGCCAGCTGGACGGATAAATGGCAGAAGGTAAAACAAAGGAGGTCCCCGATTCTGATACGAAGCTTGCAAGAACAACGATTAATAATAATAATAATAAAAAATACGAAGATCTCTGTTTAAAATAAAAGAAAGGAACAAAAAGGAATAGCAATTGATCATTGCTATCATCAGCTTTTGGTGGGATTCAAAAAAGATCAATGGCATCAAAAACTTTCAAGATCGTTCCATCCAATCCCTTTTCAGGAAAGATAACAAAGAGATGCCGCTTCTGCAAAGTAGTTTAGCATCCGCTTGCCATGTGCAGGGTTCTCTTAACTCTCCCTCAGTGCTGAAAGGAAATTACAATTTTTGTAGGGCTGTGGAGAAGATAAAAAAAAGCAGAAGGTATGCGAGAACTAACCTCTCCTTCGGCATGCTTTTCCCTTGATCCTTCACCTTTGAAGTTATCATCACCTACATGATGCAACTTGTCTGAGATGAAGTTTAAGACGTACGTGTTTTAAAACATAAATTAATGGGAAATCAACCAACGGTATGCCTTGATGTAAGCCAATCTAAGAAACAGAGATTCAGAACTCGTCCCTTATTAGGGCCAAAATACGAGTGGCCAACAAAAATGGAGGCACGTCTTTCATCTGTGAGCATGTTAACATCCATCATGTTAAAATCTTATTTTTAGCTGACAAGAACAGGCTGGTCCTCCTCTCCTCTATTTTTCAAGGATGAGTATCAACAATTTACCAGCATAATATAACGCTACTAAACCGCGGTTTGTCAATTCTCATTCGGTTTATAATGTACCTCCATCTTCAGGCAAGTCAGAAGTCCAGAGAGTGAGGTTATCTCTCAACAACTGCATGATTAAGGTGCTGTCCTTGTATGATTCCTCACTCAAAGTATCCAACTCTGCAATTGCCTCATCAAAAGCTTGTTTGGCTAGATGGCAGGCCCTGCACGTATTAACATTAAAAATTAGATCGTTAGAAAGTCATGGACATGGACACAGGATAATACAATTTGGCAGCATTAGATTGCCAAAAATATAATCTAACGTGCCTCTCCGGAGAATTCATGATCTCATAGTAGAAAACAGAAAAGTTAAGGGCAAGGCCAAGACGAATTGGGTGGGTTGAAGGCAGATCAGTGCTTGCAGTGGCAGAAGCAGCCTAAAAGGGAAATGGAAACACGAGGTGCATATCAAATGATGACAAAATTAGAGAATGCCAAATAAATGGATTACATATTTATGAAAGATAAACTAAAGTAACATGCCTCGTAACCCTTTAATGACAGCTCGGCTGCCTCCTTCCTTTCTTGATCAGTCTTGAACTCAGCTAGATAGCGGTAGTAGTCACCTTTCCTGAATTCATGGATGCCAAGACCCGGTATTAAGAAAATAAAAAATAAAAAGCAGGCCTTTATAGATCACTACTTTCATGCCTTCTTACATGTAATACTGCTGTGAACTACTTAACTGAAAACATAATAAATCATTACACAGTTCACGAAATTGCTGCTTCTTAGACGTGTTGATAAGCAGGAGCAGGGGATGAAAAAGCAAAAGGAGTATTATAAACCTTTTGTGCACCACTTGTCCAAGAGCCAGGAAAAGTAACTAGTCATCAGATGAAGAAAAACATACCCGTTTTCCATTCATGTATATAAATAATGTGATGCAAAGAGCAAAAAGATACATATAGGATCGAGGATAAAAGCGCTATAAAAGATCATCTCTAAAGGCCAACGTATATAACTCACATCTTGTAGTAGAACACGGTTGCTTCTCCTGAGGTAGAAGAGGGGACGAGATAATCATCAATGATGGACAGGATGTCCTTGCAAATCTTGGACAGTTCATCCTCTACCTTCTGGCAGTAAGCCTTAATCAGTTTAACGTTGCTGTCATTTCCTTTAGATTCTTCCTTCTGCTCAATTGAAGACATGATCCGCCAAGAAGCTCGCCTAGCCCCAATTACATTTTTGTATCCCACCGAAAGGAGGTTCCTCTCCTCCACCGTCAGTTCACAATTAAGTTTGGCAACTTTTTTCATGCTCTCAACCATTTCTGTTCCGTCAATATTAAGATGTTACAGATTTCAGATAATCTGGAAAATGGGCATAAATTAAATGAAAATGTCTATCTCTAGGAAAATATAAATTTTTTTCTTAAAGGAAAAGACCCAACTATCCATTAAAAAAAAAAAAAAAACCAAAGCATGCACTCGCAAAAACAATGAAGTGAGTAATATATACATTACCATCATAGCGCTCAGCCTGCTCAGCGAGCTTGCCCATGTAAACGTAAGTCTCTCTCTCATTCTCGGTCGACATTGTAGTTTAATTTTTGAGAGAGATATGATCGATCAGATCACAACGTGTTCGCAGACAAATCAATAATCACCAGAGAGAATTTTTTGTAGAGGTCTGAAAGCAAAGAAAAGGGTGGCGTGCTTTAAATAGAAAAGGAGCGACTGGAGGGGAGGAGAAATAACAGATCTGAACCGTAAGTTGGG